AGGACAAATTATTTGTAAAATTCAGTAATTTAATATGAGGAACTTAACTCATTAGCTAACATTAGCATGACTGATATACACTTCCAACACTGTATTCTCATAGATAAACTAACAAAAATTCCAGACAGTTGGCTACAATACAAAGTGATCAGTCACTGAAAACAAGATCTATGAGACATCAACCTGACTAACTTTCCAAAACTTACCCATCTGCAGAGGACGGCTGCATCATGTTAGCATCTCATAATCTGTGATCTGAGGGTTTCAGATGCTATCACCAAAGAGTTTTATTCAAAGTTTATTGAGTGCACCTCACTGTCAGTAAAATATGTCTATAGTTATACAGTCATGGCCGAAAGTGTTGGCACCCCTGAATTTTTTCCAGAAAATTAATTATTTCTCCCAGAAAATTATTGCAATGACACATTTTGTTATACACAAGTTTATTTCCTTTGTGTGTGTTAGAACAACACAAAAAACAGTGGAAAAAAAGGCAAATTTTACATAATTTTACTCAAAACTCCAAAAACGGGCCGGACAAAATTATTGGCACTTTTTCAAAATTGAGGGTAAAAAACTCTGTTTCAAGCTTGTGATGCACATTCAAACTCACCTGTGATAAGTAACAGGTGTGGGCAATTAAAAAAATCACACCCTAAACCAGATAAAAAGGAGAGAAGTTGACTCGATCTTTGCATTGTGTGTCTGTGTGTGCCACACTAAGCATGGAGAACAGAAAGAGGAGAAAAGAACTGTCTGAGGACTTGAGAACCAAAATTGTGGAAAAATATTAACAATCTCAAGGTTACAAGTCCATCTCCAGAGATCTTGATGTTCCTTTGTCCACGGTGCGCAACATAATCAAGAAGTTTACAACCCATGGCACTGTAGCTAATCTCCCTGGATGTGGACGGAGGAGAAAAATTGATAAAAGCTTGCAGCGCAGGATGGCCCAGATGGTGGATAAGCAGCCCCAATCAAGTTCCAAAGAAATTCCAGCTGTCCTGCAGGCGCAGGGTGCATCAGTGTCAGCTCGAAATATCCGTCGACATTTGAATTGAAACACTATGGCAGGAGACCCAGGAGGACCCCACTTCTGACACAGAGACATTAAAAAAGCTAGACTGCAGTTTGCCAAAATGTATGTAAGTAAGTCAAAATCCTTCTGGGAAAACATCTTGTGGACAGATGAGACCAAGATAGAGCTTTTTGGTAAAGCACATCATTCTACTGTTAACCGAAAACGAAATGAGGCCTACGAAGAAAAGAACACAGTACCTACAGTCAAAGATGTTTTGGGGTTGTTTTGCTGCCTCTGGAACTGGGTGCCTTGACTTTGTGCAAGGCATTATGAAATCTGAAGATTACCAAAGGATTTTAGGACGCAATGTAGGGCCCAGTGTCAGAAAGCTGGGTTTGCGTCCTAGGACCTTGGTCTTCCAGCAGGACAATGACCCCAAACGTACTTCAAAAAGCACCCAGAAATGGATAGAAACAAAGCGCTGGAGAGTTCTAAAGTGGCCAGCAATGAGTCCGGATCTAAATCCCATTGAACACCTGTGGAGAGATCTTAAAATTGCTTTTGGGAGAAGGCACCCTTCAAATATGAGAGACTTGGAGCAGTTTGCAAAAGAAGAGTGGTCCAAAATTCCAGTTGAGAGGTGTAAGAAGCTTGTTGACGGTTATAGGAAGCGATTGATTTCAGTTATTTTTTCCAAAATGTGTGCAACCAAATGTTAAGTTGAGGGTGCCAATAATTTTGTCCAGCCCATTTTTGGAGTTTTGTGTAAAATTATGTTAAATTTGCCTTTTTTTCCCCCCTGTTTTTTGTATTGTTCCAATACACACAAAGGAAATATATGTACATGTGTATAACAAAACGTGTAACTGCAATAATTTTCTGGAAAAAATTCAGGGGTGCCAACACTTACGGCCACGACTGTATGTTGCAACTAAACTAAAAGACAGAAAATTTTTGTCAGAAAATCCTATTTATGTACATTCAGCCTTTCCGCCAAAATAACTGTTACTCTACTCTAATTTAGATTGAATTTGAATAAAAGGCAATAACATTTGTTATTTTAAAAGACATTTTACAATGACTTATTTTTGTAATTCATGTAGGTTTAAAATTTGAATCATAATTACCTTAAAAGTCAGAAATCTGGGAGAAGCACTGGACTGGTCACCTCTTACCCTTCACTCGCTGATTTGTCCCCTGGGTTTTATATGTTCTTAAACAGTTAGCAAATGGGAGGTGAATTATATTGTAAAGAGGATAATATTTTCCTGGAACATCTGTGCTGCAAGACCACTTTCACATTTTGTCTGTTTCTACTCTGTTGTAAAGGTAACCGAAGGTAAACAGCTCCTACGTTTATCTCGGAAAGTGCGGCAGCTGTGTAAAAGTCTTGAGCCGTCTCCTCATTTGTTAAATTTGGCTTCCAAAATGCCAAACCTACTAATCATTTAGAAAAGAAAAAAGTGAATGCACAGGAAAGATTTGGCAATAGTTTTACACCGGATGCCTTTCTGACACAAACTGGGTTTCAACCTGCAACCTCACAGTTACGAGACCACAACACTGACCACCGAGTTAGATAMGTACAAAATATGAGAACTAAAAGTGTTCAATCATTCATGAAGGTTGTGGGTTTGTGACACAGCAGTGTAACTTCAAGTCAAACTCGCATTTTGCTCATAAAAAAAAATAGCTGTCATTTTTGATTGGATATGAGACAGTTTCTTTAAATTATCCTGTTTCTAGTTAACTCCTGTAATTTCCATGGAAAGTTTCTAAATTAGAATATTTCCAAAATTCCCAAGGTTGACCCTCGTGAAAGTTTCTAGAATTTTTCCGCTCCTTTTGCAACTCAAGTAAAGGCCCTGTCGCACTAAACAACTTATACCAACTTATGAWACATTTTTTATGTTAAATTGCTCATAAATGTTATAAATTTGATCAATTTGTTTGAATTACATTATGTGCACGCTGAAATGAAGCTTCCTGTTGATTTTTTCAATTCCATTATTAATGCAGATGTCTTCAAAATGTTCATAAGTTGGCATACGTTGTCTAGTGAGACAGGGCCTTAAGATTTGTTTGAATCGAATCAAGTTAGATTAGATATTTAAGTTGTGGCATCATTTCCCAAACAAGCATCCAGTAAATGCCAAGAGTGCGTGTAGTGTCAGTACGGTTCAGTACAGTTCCATTAGGCCAGATTCTTGGAACAGGCCCTTTTTTTAGTACCTACTTCATTGTGGTTCCAAGCGGTCCCAGTTGACACCAAAATGCAACATCAGAACACTGTTCGTCACTGATTGGCTAGGGGGTGGAGTCACTGGTTGTGTTTAAGCTGCCTTTACAACAACAACTCAAGGCGCCATTTTTTCAATTGTAGCAGTGACATTAGTCGTGTTTCCATCCAACTTTAATTTGAATTTTTGGCGAATTTTTAAAAATTCAGAACTGATACGGCGAATGTGTTTCCATCTCTCAATTTGCGCATTAACTCCTTTTTTGAAAAACCCAAAACACATCCACTGGAACCGGACTGGAACGTCAATGGAAAAGCACCCAAACTGACCCGTTCCGACACTGACCGTACCATCACTACACTACAAGTGGCACTCAATCATCCTTTAAGATTTTTGCTGTCAGACGTTTTGATCGAGACAAACATTGTTAAATATTGACCAAACCTACAATGTTTATATTACTATCAGAAGCTGACTTTATCACGTGACTGGAGGTGGGTCACTTAAAGCATCGTAACAGCTGTTTAAAAGCCTGATGAGTGTTTGGTTCCTCATGAATGATTAATGATAAAACAGGGAGGGGAGATGCTTTTATTCAAGTCTTTTAGTTTGACCTGTTTGTGTCCTTAGATGAGAACTTTATAAAACCTCCTGCCTGGACAACAAGATTTATTAATGTTTCTATTATTTAAAAAAAAAAGAAAAGAAAATGGGAATTAAAGCAGCTGATGTAGAAAGAAACAAACAAATGAAATCCTGTATTTTGCAGTGAAAGACTCATTTGTTGTGGCCAGTAATGTACTGAGGGAGACTTGACTGTTATGTGATCGCGCCTCCTGGCTGCTATGGCATTACCATGGAGATGTGCCTCCTGTGTGAAATACAATTAGAGGAAATCATATCAGTCTTGGTTACCCTTGAACTCACTGCTGGAGACTTGATGGAGCCGTTCTAAGAATTATCTTCAGTTTTTAACGCTGTTTTGAACCAAACAAAATCACTAATTGCTTTCCCCATTCTTTTGCCCTCTGGCTCTCTTATTTATTAGAGCCCTGTTTTGTCTGTATTTACCCTCTGGAGGGCTGAGGTCATCAGATCAGAACCTTTGAACGGTCCCCTTCACTCACTTTAAGTCTAGAGGTGATCGCTCCTTCCAGGCCATCGCTCCAAGGCTCTGGAAGGATCTTCTGCTCTCAATATGCGCACTTGATTCTGCACTGTAAAAAATGAAATGTTGGATTTACTTAACCATGTTATGTGACCTGGTTCCACTTAACTGAGTTGAGTAAATTCAAAGCAATATACCAGTTTTTTA